ATGAGACTTGTTTGTGGCCACAGATCCAGCTGTCAGTTCTCCTTACAATCAATTCCCCTCTTACCCCTAAAACTCTCCAAGTCTCTTTCCTCCCGGCTGTGCAGCGGAGTGGATCATGGCACCACAAACCTGGCAGTTGCTGCTTTCCCCTGAGAGGCCATTCTGCCCCTTACCAGTATCCAACATGGTAAATCTGTTTGCGAGGGGGATGGCCACAGGGGATTCCTGCACTACCTGCCCACACTTACTAGTCTTTCTGATGGTCACCCAATGCTTTTCTGCCCAGAGAAGTGAACGCAGCTGAGGAAGGCAGGAGACTATTCAAGCACCTCAGAACAGAATAGCTCTCTCTGCAGCATTGTGAAAAATTATAAACATGCAGCTGCCAGATAGGTAATACTAGAGGCAGAATCCTTACACAGAATTATATGGAACCATGGCTATGGCCATTACAGTCCAGTGGATTGGTGTTGAGCTCCTGTTAAACCTGGGCACCAGCCTCAGCAAGGGGTCTGACCCATTGCTATCTTTCCTCTAATTGGCCCATTGGTGGATGTAATTGTTTATCTGCCCAGACAGGCAACTTCTGTCATGTTGATTCCACCAGGAATGTTGCTCAGAAGCAGGAACTTATCAGGTGGCAGATCTGACGTGCTATTTTAAACTTTGGTCCTCGTCTTTCCCTCAATCACTTGTCCTGTGTTAATCACCTTGGATCTTCATGTCGGCTATTTACAGTAAAATGAAGTAAACAGCTTCGTGTAGTTTTGCTTTCAATGGAATGTGCATTCTACCAAGAGCTCCAATCATCTTCAGGAACCCAGTAATCCAATGGAAGGTGAAGACCTGCTTCTTCATCCTCACAGGAGGGCATGCCAAAGTATATGGAGTCCAAAGCCCTTCAGCCACCCTGTGAGTACCTTGTGGAGCTCTGTGAAATGCTGCACATAACACCATCACCAACTTAAAATGACCCCACTGTAAAAACATTCAGTGGTGGGGCACTTTCATTGGCACTGAGAGGACAAAGCCAGATCTTCATTCGACATTTCAGAGAGGCATCCAATTATATCCTCAATGAAGCATATCTCCTCAAACTCCCAACTCCTCAGATTCCTATTAAGCTTTCTGTTTGTATTCTCTCTGGGCTGGGTGATTACCCTCTGAACAAACAATCCAATATGTACCCAAACTCTCCTTTGAAGTTCCCTGAGCCCGCATCATATTTTAAACATAGCAATATGCAGGCAATGACTAAAGACTGAAGAATGAGGAAGAAGATAATAAACACATCTCCCACTAAAGTTTCAACAGCCAAAAGATTGTGAAAACCTGTTAAAAGTGATAGGAAACATCAGCTTACAGCTCACTTACATGTCATTTAATAACATGGTGAATTATAAAATGTTGCAGAACTTCATCTTGTATTTCAAATTTGATTTGTAAAAATACTATAAAGATCAACATCACAAGACTACTAGCACTGCAATTCACCAAGCAGCATCATGAAGCAACATTGTAGTCATTAAACTCTTAAACTTAAATAATCCATGAAGCAGAAGAAACAGCAGATAAAAGGCATTACAAATAAACATCTTTCACTTCTCCAAAAGCCAAATAAGAAGCCTGTTAAAAAAAATTAAAGCCCTTTTAAAGGAGCACACATCTTAATTGCCTTAAAATGTTTAAAAATGCCTTTGTTATATTGAACTTGAAATGTTGGTACGGATTTTCTGATGATTTGTAACCACACGCATTATTGCTTCTCGTCACTTTTTTTTAAACAACAGATGGAAGCTCCAAGACAACAAGGTGCAGGGCTGGATGAACACAGCAGACCAAGCAGCATCATAGGAGCAGAAAGGCTCCATATTTCTGAGAGGAGATTCTACTCAGGGCCCTCTCAGAAATGTGGAGGCGTAATTGCGTTCTGACATTCTGTACTATAACAGAACTGTCAAAGCAAGGTAAACCATGTCCTCTTCACAGCAGTCAGCTGCCATATTCTGAAACTTGGAGATCCAGTATCATAGACAGCCACTTTGATATCTGCTGACAAGCCATAGTATATGAGGTAACTGGTATGTAAAGGTGCTGGGAGGGTAGTGTGCCAGGGAGCTAGATAATTAGGATGCCAGATTGGTTTGAGATATGGCTTAAGGTGGTAGGATGCTAGATAAGTAGGAGGTAGGCAGATAAGTATGACTCCAGGTGAGTTAGATGCCATGATGCCAGGCATATAAGGCTCCAGATTAGTACAACGCCAGTTCAATAGGCTTGTCAAGTGAGAAGAGGGTAGGGTGCTAAGTGGCAAGATGTCAAATGCAAGGTGGCACAGAGGCTAAGTAAACAATGCAGCGTTTACGGTGGATCAAGATGAGATGGAAAAATTGCGTCTGGCACCGTGGGGCCAGAGTGAGTAGGTGGGTTTGTTGAATTCGGGTTTGGGTACAGTCCACTGAGGGAAGGGATGGAATGGGGTTGCACTGGGAGAGCGTCAGGTCAGCAGAGGTGATGGGGTCAGATCTAATCCAATGGTTAAGGGTGACAATTAAGGTATGGAGGTGGGGGTTTTGGATACTGCAGAGCAGTGATGTCAGCTTCAGTCCAGTATGAGAGTGTGGGGGGTTGGATCTCCGCAGGCTGAGAAGGTGGTTTAGGACCGGCAGAGGGAGAAGTGGGGGTTGGGTCAGTTGATGGGGGTATCAGGTCCCAGTTGAAGTAGGGAGTATTGGGTTAGAGTCTGCAGAGTGTAAGTGGTCTGGGGAAGGTATGATTGGGTGTTAATTTCATAGAATCATAGAGTACAGAGGAGGCGCATTGACCCACCGAGTCCGCACAAAGCAAAAGTTACTCAAAATCTGCATGAGTCCTAATTTTCAGCATTTATTTATTATGACATTTATTTCATTGGAATCTTCCAAACTCTCTGATTTAAGCAGAGATTTTCAGGGTGCTGCAGGTACATGGAATTGCTCAGTAGAATCTTCATTTCCATACAGTCCCCATATGCACCTTCCATCTATTCTGGAATAATGACTGTCTCTGACCATAGGAAAATCTGGGCTGTTAACTCAGTTTTTCTCTCAATCAATGCTGCCAGACCAGCTGATGTTCTCCAAAATAGTTTTTTAAAAAAATATAATTATTGTTTCTACCTCTTCTATGTCTTCAGCAGTTACACACCCGAGACTCTGAGCCTATCTGAATGCTTACAGCATCACTGCCTTGTGTTGCTTTGCCTTTTTGCACTTGTGTCCCCTCAGCCAGAGATACAGACCCGCTGTATTGTTGTGCTGGTTAGTGCAGGCACAACGTCAGGAAGTTTGTCACGACTGTCAGCAGACCTCCATCAACTCAAAGGGATAGCCTTCACTCAGGGCTTCTGGTGCAGTAATTCAAGAGCAGCCTCCAAAATTAGTCCAGGGGCTTGGACATGGTCAATCACCCACTCATGATAGTCAGATTCAGGATCATCTCTGCATAAGGATATTGTTTTGGGGCTGTTTTCCTCCTAGAATGAGCAAGAAGCAGGTATTAAGGGAGATGAAAGTGGTTGACACAACTTGGTCATGCAGGCAGGGTGGTGCACCAAGTGAGTGAGTGACTCTTGATTCAAAGGGTTCCTATAGTCACAGCGACCCCAGGAAGAGCACAAATAGCAGAATTGGGCTATTAATGAGGTCAGCATCTTGGAATTGGTTCCAGCAAGTCTGGAAGAGATCTTACGTTCAAACAGATGACACTTGTTAAATGTCAATTGAGACATTGGGAAGACTCAATCAGTCCAGCAGGGTGGATCCAAAATTAAAAATTTTGTCCTGAGCCATATTTTCTGAGAGATTGTTCAGGTTTGCTGCTGAGACAGCATAAAGGTATAAAAGCTCCCTGTCTAATCTGATACACCAGATTCTAGAATCCCAAAGGGTAGAAAGCTAAGTTATAAGTATTAATGCCTTTGCCTGGGTGAACTGAGACGGTGACCCTGATCAATGTTTCAGTAAAGCAGCCAATGACTCCATATTTATGCCTTTGAAACAACGCATGATGACAACCGTTTAATTAATCTGGTTAGTTTTGTTATTTTCTTTTATTTATCCCTTAACTGTGTTTATTTGTCTGCCTGTCTTTTGTGCGAATGTTGATCTAGTAAATAGTTAAGTCTTTTGTTTAAGGTACAAAACTGATGTCTGGAATTAAAGCCTGGGATTGATTATTCAAAAGTCAGAATAGGAACCATTGAAGTGATTATCTGGGGGCCTTTGAGGATTTAATCTTACTGAGTTGCAAATGCAGAGGCAGAAATTTTGATTTTGTTCAGCTGTCTGCCTCTGTGTCATAACAGTTTAGTGCTGGACAACTTCCAGACAGGTAAGATTACTTTAAACCAGGTGGCAGCCTCAGATAAGGCTGGCATGATCTAGTATTATGGTGTCCTCTGCTGGCCCTGGGGAAGGAGGGAATTGCACATGGCACCATCCTGCCAGAACCCTGCCTGGAAAGCAGGGCACTGAATTTCCCCACGTCCTGTGTCTAAGGCAAACGTGAGAAACTGTGCAGGGCAGCTCCAGACCAACTGTGTTGTCAGGATGCTGAATAGGCTTTTTAAACACAATGTGGGCACAAGGAATGCCAGTGAATTCTGAGATATCCAGTCAGTAGCTGTTTTTTTTTCTGGGAACAGTGCATGGTAAAACGGGGTTAAATCAGATGTGAGAAATGCTGTAGGGGCCTGGTGGATAATTAATGAAGTGAGTTTGATCAGTACAACAAGGGAATCCGCAGCAACCAAAACTCCAAAAAGACCCAACGACCTCCAGACTTAGCTAAAAAAAACCAAAAGATTTGTATTTTTCAGCAAACCTTGTCCTGGAACTGACACAAGTGTTATTGAAAATCTGACACTCATGGATGTCAACTGCAGTACAGCAATCTTTACATGTGATGACAGCTGCATCAGGGACAGCAAATATGAAAAAAATTAAGGGAAAAATAAAAAAAAAGGCATGAGAGTGATAAAAGACAAAGGAGAGACCAAGACTAGATGAAAAAGCATAAAGAATGAAAGAACTAGGAAGAAATTATTCACATAAAATATTTGGGATAAGGTTTGCCATACTACTCTGACATATGACCACCATCTGTAGAGTACTCTCAGATTGACAAGCCCAGCAATGGTGTGCAAGTTAGACCAACAGACGTATTGTTGAATGGTTTACCAGCATGAAGTGCTCTTGGCTTGCCAAGCAGATTGCAAATTTATATGGAGGAACCACCTTCAAACCGCGACATTGCTATCAAAAACATTGGTACACAGTATACCGCAAAGGCACAATGGTGCATGTTGTGGGGGAATACAGGAGTTTCATCAGTAGGTACATTCATTGGTTGCCTAAATTGAAGCCATTAAATTTAGTTTTATTTCCTGTTTTATTGTGCATGTGACTAGGCATAGGTTTATTGCAGGTTCAAATAATGTTAATGTGGGGATCACCTTCAACCCATTTATCATCCTGACTTGGAAATATATCACAGTTCCTTCATCATTGCTGGATCACAATGCTAGAATTCTCTCCCTAAGGGCATTGTGAGTCTACCTATAGTGTGTGGAGTGCAATGGTTCAAGAAGGCAGGTCACCACTACCTTCTCAAGGGCAACGAGGGATGGGCAATAAATGCTGACCAACTAGCAATGCACCTGTTCCAAATTTAAATGAAAAAAGCCCAAAGATGTTCATAGATTTTCCCTCTGTCATAAGGTCAAAGATTACACCATGATTACTACCATTTGAAGCTCTTCAGAAAATGAAGCAGTTCATTTCTCATATACCCAAAGACTCAAACAGTTAAGCACAGAAGCAGTCCATTTGCTGCATCACATTTGTGGCAGCCAATAAAGATTTGACTACATTAATTCCATTGTTCAGCTCTTGGCTCATAGCTCTGGAGGCCTTGGTAATACAAGTAAATATCTAAATACCGCTTAAATGTTACAAGAGTTTCTAATTCAACCACCTGTTCAGGCAGTGTGTTCCAGACTCCTGCCTTCTGAGTGAAAATATTCTTCCTCTTGACCTTCTACCTCTTACTTTAAGTCTACATTGCCTGGTTATTGCTCCTTCTACAAACCTGAGGGTGGGACAACGCTCTGAAAGTTTGTGTGTTCAAATAATCCTGTTGGACTATAACCTGGTGTCCAACCTTGTCCAACCCAGTCCAACACTGGCACCTCCACATCATCTTCTACTAATCGAGAAAGTGCATTCCTATCCACACTATTTATGTCCTTCATAATCTTAAAGACCTTTATCAGGTCCTCTCTTAATCTTTGCTGCTCCAAAGAAGGTCTATCCATCATCAACAAGGACAATGGCTGTATAGCATCACCACTACCTCTACGTTCCCCTCCAAGACACTATGGGTGCACCGATACTAGTCACACTGTGGTGGTTCAAGAAGGCAGCTTGTCATCTCCCTCTCAAGCAATTATCAATGGGCAATAAGTACTGACTTTGGCAGCACTACTTAGGTCTCACTAATGAATATTGAAAAAGTCAAAACGGAGTTGGATTAATCTTGATCTTCCCTTTAACTGATTCCTTCTTTAAAAGGATGGCAGCTGTATCATTACAGTACAGGGTTTGTTGCTATTCTCCTGCCAGACCTTACAAATTGTGTACCTCATTCTGTTCTGTTCTGTTCTGATTGTAATTACAGCTGCATGTGCAAATCCCTGAGAAAATTGCAGTGTAGCTACAACTCACTTATTAAATCCTCGCTCCTAATTGTTGGTTTAATTGTTGTTTTTGCTGTTTCTGATGCTAACAAAGTGAATTATTACCATTTCAAAATTCTCCTCTACTGTGTTCTCTGAATATCTATGAACCAGCACCAAACTTACCCAAAAAGGTGCCAGCAGTGATATCTAGGAGTTGACTATGAATTGACAGCAATACCACAATTGTCCAAACTCACAATGGCTATATTTTAAATGGGTGACAAATAGTAAAGCCTTGTTTTGATTTTTGACAGAAAGTAAATGCACTGAAGGACATATGTTTCAACATTTTAAGGAGGCAACTCATCACCAAAGGCAACCTGGGACGGGAAACGAATGCTGGCCCAGGCAGTGGCACCCACATGAGTGAGAAAGGAGGTGTGCTCATGCCAATTATAAATCAGGAGCTTTTAAGAAGCTGTTTAAAGATATTTTCGCTCAAGTCAATCTGTGGCACCATAACAGCCTACTAGAAATTTCTGGCTGTTAAGGTGTACAAATCAGGAAGGTGTCATCCTTGTTTTGAGGGCCTGACAATATTGACAAGATGTTTGTACTTCATACAATGTAAAAATGAACCCTCTGTATCTGTTGTTGACAGTGCCAGAGTTGGATGCTGCGCACGTTAAGTATTCCACAACCTACAACCTTAAGCACTGGGAGGATGGTTTTTCTCAGTTTTTATTTAAGATTGAATGTAGGGGATAAGGTAGTTATAGAACTAAAAAGACACCAACTAAAACTGCAAGCATTAAACAAAGGTATAAAACTCTGGGTAAATAAAATGAACAAGGAAAATGAGGCACTTCATCGATTCAAGAGTCGTTTCACTTTCTCATACTAAAATCACTCATAATTCTTCAGCAGCGCAACAAAGTTCAAAATAGATTCCCTATTTGATTGAAAATGTAGCCATAATGCACACTGCAGAACAGTATATGTCTCCACTTAATTTTCATGGATAATCTCAAAATGGTAAAGGTTTTGTTCATAAATCATACATTATCATGGATTATTAAAGATTACCGTGTTTTATGCACTATATGTGTATCTACTTAATAAATACATATTTTTATATGATATCCTTTTATCAGGAATTATTTTAACTAATGCAAATGATCTTTACTGCTGGATTTATAACTTAAGACACTTGGTTCACTTATCTATCTGGTCATAGCAGTGCATTCTAGTGATGAGTTATCTTTCTACCTCTGCATTATTCTTTCTGAAGTTCCCTATCCTTATAATCCTACTTACCGACTGCCCACTATTTATTGTAAGACCCAAGAAGATTTACTTGCCAAGGTGAGGATTACAACAGAAGCATAAGAAGTCCTTGCATAGATGGCGTCGCAAGGAGAGTTATAGATACAATACCCACTTAAAAATACAATGCTACTCTACTTTAGGCTGCATTCATTGCAAGGCAGTCTTTGTGGTGAAAAAGTGAAATCATTACTCAAAAATAAATATATTTTATACACTGAATGCCGTTACATTTTGCAAGTATAATTTGCCTTGTAGGAATTAAAGTTTTTTTAAAAAAGTACACTGAATAATATGTTAATAGTTTGTAATGACCCAGTCAAGCTCTGTAAGGTTCTCAGGATTTGAACAGTAGTTTTGCAGATCACAATTCACAATCTGTCGCATTGTCACATTGTCTTATATTTGTAATTTGTGTGTACATATTATGTTAATTGATGGTCGCTGTATTTTCACATTAAATGCAAGATTATCTTAGATGTCACCATCT